TTTAACTAAGGAAATATTTCGCTTATTCCAGTAGAACCATTTATTAAAAAATGTGGGGCAACCCATGTACAAAGAAATTTTTTTGGGCATTGCCTTTTAAAAGTACTTTAAGCTCTACCCAGAATTACAGCGGTCGGCGTTAGGTGAACAGCGGAACAGTTACCGCAGTGAAGTCCTTCACAGTAGACACAATTGCGGAGCACGACGGCTTCCGTCAGTTGTGATTTTGATTTGAAAATTATTATTAAAGTTAAATATTTTTTCGTTGCGTGCATGTATGTAGATTTGCTGTCATTAAAAATGGATAAAAACATTGGCAAACTTGTGAAAATAATAAAAAATTACTACAATCAACATTGTGCCGTCCCCGCTGGGTAAAAATAGAAATAAATCTAAATCAACTGAAAAACGTCGGCGGTAAAAACGCTGCCACCGCAATTACGATCCATTCCATATGCCTTTGTGAGTTTTAGTTTTGACAGCGATTAACCGTCGACCACTTTACCGTCATCCGCTACAATTCTGGATAGAGCTTTAGACTCGACGGTGTAGGGCGAAGGTATTTTTGTTTGGTTGTAGGACCGTACATACCTATGTATATATACGTATAGTTATTTTAAAAATTGTGGGGATGATATTTTAAATTTTTTTATTTAGCAGACACATCTTTATGTGACCCGTTTGATAAATAAAATAACGGCGATCCTTCTTTATCAGTAAAATCTTATCGCGATATCTCTTCTCTACTTGAACTGCAAAATATTCGCCAATTTAAAAATGTTCTTAAAATTATTGTAGTTCTTATGATAAGGTTTCATATATTTTAAGTTAAAATAATCTAGGCTTGGGAAAATTTGTTCTAAAGCAAGTTATTTTATTTATGGATAATTTTATAAGCCGAGAGGAATTGTGTGATACTTATCTAAGGAGCTTTCGAGTATTGCACCAGATTGCGACAACTAAATCATCCACAATTGTGTTATTTTTTGCAGTAATAGAAAATGACACCGATCTGCTCGCTGATTTCAATATAAACTTTGGTCTTTATGCAAAGGAGTTCTTTGAATTCGACAGTACCGGCAACGATGATGAGCGGGCGAAGAGTTTGCGACAATTCTATTACAATGACACCATCATAAACCAAAATAATCTCCTCGGTCTCGGTCAAATCCTATCGGATGCTCTTATCGGACATGGCGTGCATAGACTGGTGCAGCTGGCAAAGGAACACACGAATGTCTATTATTACCGTTTCGATTACGTCGGTAAAAAGTCTTCGTATACAGATAGGGCTGGAAACCCGCGTGGTAAGTACAAAAGGCTCGAAGAAATATTTGACTAAAATTTTTTTTTAATGTATTAAAAAAAAACACAGGCGTCGCTCATGGGGATGACCTTCTCTATGTTTTTAAACGCAGAAACTTCGAAGTGGATTCTGAAGATATTTTTATGGTCGAACGAATGACGAACTTATATGCCTCATTCGCTGCCAATGGGTGAGTAAAATTCAGCTTGACCAAGCAAAAGTTTGCAACAAAAACTCTTTTTTTCCCCCAGCTCACCACCAGTTGTAGAGAACGTTACTTGGCTACCTTTTGCTGCCAATAATACCGTTGTCCTTTATATGAACACGACTCCATCTACGGGGAGTCCCTTCTATGTGGACCGCTATGCTTTGTGGGATACAGTGTTTCCGCTTGCGGAAAGTAGCGCTGGGATACAGCTTCCCGCCGTAGTGCTGCTGTCATTTGCAGCTGCATGGAATATTTTATTTTAAGCAATTCGTTTTAAGTAAAGATTTGTGAAATTTTTAGTCAGAGTTTGAATAACAAAAAAAAAATAGAACCTTCTTTAAGATAGATAAATTATAAATTTCATAAAAGTTTTTTCTTTCCAACAAATTTTATATCTATCTTAAGTGTTAAAAATAAGGCCGATGATATACATATGAACGTACACACTGTACATTTAAAAATATTAACGATATTTCGCAAAGAATATACAAATTCGTGTGTACATGTGAATCCATTTGTAAAGCTGGGAATTTTTCCCAACGAGCATTTGCGGCACGACGCTAGAGTTGTCGACGTCTTTCCAACCGTACTTTTTGTTATCATCCATAAGCAACTGGGCTCTTGGAATTTTGTACGGCTTAATGTGAAGCTCCTTTTTCGGAATTTGACGAACAGTTTCACGACCAATGCTAGTTTTGCGGGCAATTTTTCTTATCGAAAGCCTTGAATTTCGCAGAACTCGCTTTTTAATTATTTGGCGGTTCTTCCACATCCCCTATGATCACCTTCATGGCCAAGTTCATTCAACCGCTGAATTTCTTTGGAAACAGTATGGCGATGAACTTCGAGCAACCGAACAATTTCTCATTGTTTTATTCCTTGGCGATGCAATTCCTAAATAGCACCTCTTTTGTTCGACATTTCAAAACTTGTAATTACAGAACGATTTGAACAGTGATCACTAAATCACTGACAGCTAGATCAAATAGAGAATGCAATGAGATTTAAATTTTACAGTGATGTTGGCGCTAGGGATGAAATGATACTAGCAAATACTTTATATCTTTCGTTCGATACCAAGTATTTTTGGTAACGATACTTTTGAACCAAGTACTGAGTAGGTATCGAAACCCGGTACTAAGGCAATTTTTGCTTCGTAATTTTTTCCTCCTCTGTTATTCCTAAAATGAATCACTGTGCGGTTTATGGCTACTCAAATGCCTTCGAAAACAGGAGATTTAATTAGGCTACGTACAGTGTGTATATCAAATTGAATCGAGATCGGTGAAGAAGTTTTTGAGACACGCATATATGATATACGTGGGCGATACGTTGCCAATTTTCCCAAATTATTATTAAAAAAAACGATTTTTTTGCAGAAGTCATTGAATATGCATATCCATTTTGAATAAACATTGATAAATTCCTTAGCCACGCTGCTCAAAAAATCTGAAAGTCCAATTTTTTCGCAATTTCATTAGGTGAGATAACAATTTATTCGAAAATAATTATTCTTTTAGTTCAATACTACACATTTTTTTAACTTTCATAGAAATTTTTTAAATTAGGGAGGTCAAACTAGAAAAAATTAAGAAAAATAGGGGCTTATCAAAATTTATCCAGTGAAACCTGCCCACAAGCTAAGTTTAACTATATATTGTTATACATAATTTTAAAGTTCTATAAATCACCCCCAGGGCAAAAATCACTGACTTTTACCTACCTGCAGGCAAAAACCATACAGCGACAACATAATGGATGTTAATATCGAAACAGCAAAGATGAACCTATTACCTGCTTCAAAAAAATGGGCACCATGGCATATCTAGTAATTAATCATCGACGAAAATCACATTACCTAAATAAATGAACATAAATTAGAGACAAATCTCGGACCAGACAGAACGAAAAATGACACTGAAGATGGCACAACGCCGAAACCGGTTTGTCTGCAAACCAAACTTGACAAGGGATGACGGAAATTCGTTCCAAAATAAATCATTCTATAAATCTCTTTTGCAAAACATTGCTTTGCTTTTGAAAATCGGAGGATAAATAGTCAAGATCTTAATAGACAAGTGCACCAAGTCCGAACATAACAGTTGTTTTAAAATAATAAAAATAATAATATAAATGGAATAATAAAAATGGAACTAAAAGAAATCTATTTTCATATTATACTCGACCCTATACTGGAACCTACACTAAGTTTTGTTTCGGGTACATTTCGTCCTTTTTATTTATTTTTTTTTTTTGTAGCGCTGTGTTTTGAAATAACCACTTTTTAAGTTAATTTTTTTATATACCTACGAGTATTGTATTGTATAAGTAGTCAATACACAATAAGTGCTACACATTGATCGCTGCTTGAGGTAATTAACAAAGCAGACAAAATTAAGTACAAAGGTCGTGAAAGGATTAAAAAAAAACGACTCGGTTAAGAAGGAGCTAATTTACCAGATTTATTCTTCCTTATATTGCACAATAGTTTTTGCAAGAACAGTGGTTTAAATGGTACGTTTTTAAAGCACTCTTTAATTTTGCACAGAAAAGGTTTTCATTCCATTCCACTGTACGTACCTCACTACATAAATGTGAAGTACTTATAATAAATAAAGCAATCACATTTATGAATGATAAGCTTCTTAAGTAGCTTCGAGTCTGTACATAGTTCTTAGGAAAAAGTAACCAAAAATAGTTATAAATGAAAAATGAGTAACTGAAATTTGATTAGTCCACTTCCCTCTGTCTGGGTAATAATAAATTATATTTTTTTTTTCAATTGGTTGATTCTTACTTAAAATAGTGGTTTGCTTACTGATATAAATAAGAGTAAATACGTGCTTGATTTAACAAAAGATAAATCACATATGTATGTACATATTTCACACACAAAGAGAGCTTTCGAGTCTAAAGAGCAGGGACCGCAAACAACGATTATTTTTGAAATTTCAACGCATAAAATCGCATAACAACCAATATATTTCTTATTACTCGGAATACCTTCAGCGGCACTGATTTTTATTTTTTTAATTTTTACTTATAAAAATCAAGTTTAATAATTATTTTTTGATTTTTATTTTTTATTCAGAAAATAATCGTTACGTTTTAAATTTTTAATTTTCTGCTCGGAAAATTAAACTTAATTTTTCCCTAATCTGGCCTAACTCACTTGAGAAGGCTGCACTAGCTAAGCGGTTGGAGGGTTGGTCTTAGTGGGGCACTACGGCACTGACTCAAGAGTTTTCAGCATAGTTTAGAAACAATTTGTGATATCCAGGGCTAGTACTCGTTGCCAAATTTCGATTTGAAGAACGAAAAATTAGCACTTCATATAAAATCTCTTGTAGCTTTAGGAACAAAATGCATTGATCATTGAGATAACTTCTATGCGATGAAATCCCTTGACATTAAAATCAATTTATTTCTAGAAACGTACCGATAAGACTTCAAAATGCATCTACAAAAAAGTGTCCGACCACCGCAATGGTGGGTATAATTTTGCTTTGCAATTTTTTGCTATTTTCCGCGCAATTCTTAGACCAACAAGCAGTCACAGCGCAAGAAGCACCTCTCATAGTAACTTCACTTGGTACGATACGCGGCAGTGTACTGACCACCCGTAAAGGACGAGATATCTACGCCTACCGTGGTATATATTATGCCGAAGCGCCTATCGGATCACGACGATTTGCAGCACCTCAGCCAGTGCAACCATGGAATGGCACGCTAGATGCCTTAGCGGATGGTCCGATGTGCCCACAGCAGCTTACAGGAGCGTTAATGGACGAAGACTGTTTGTCACTGAACGTTTACACCAAGAATGAGACGGCATCAAATCCAGTGATCGTTTACATACACGGTGGTGCCAATAGCTATGGAAGTGCAAATAGTGAATACGACGCTGGGCCGCAGTACTTACTCGATGAGAATGTAGTGCTAGTGAGCGTTTTCTTTCGTATCGGCCCTTTCGGTTTCCTAAGCACAGGCGCCGCAGAGGCGCACGTAAACCATGGTCATTTAGATCAAGTTTTGGCACTCAAGTGGGTGAACGAACATATTCAGAACTTTGGTGGGGATCCAAAAAGGGTCACACTCCTCGGTCAGAGTGCTGGAGGTTTTGCAGTAACTTTGCATATGGCATCGCCGTTATCGGCAGGTCTCTTCCACGGTGTCATCGCGATGAGTGCAAGTTCGACAAGTGAATATAATCTAGACAATGTATATTGGAGCCGAAAACTCGCTCATGATCTTGGATGTCCCAAGTACGAAACTAAATTTTTACTGAATTGCTTAAGGCAGATTAGTTGGGAAGTGATAGTTAATGCGACTGTGAGATGGGAGAACTATGGATTGGTAAATTCTAAGTGGAACTGTGAAATTGACGGCAATTTTATATTGGAACATCCTAGCGAGGCAATAGGTGGAAACAGGTTTAATCGTGTGCCAATCATGACTGGTGTTACTCGAGATGAATTCGATTTCCATCCACAGGGTAAGTGCACGTTTCATTTTGAAACCCAAAGATATTTTTAAACATAATGTACATATTCTATATACGGTGGCGAAACAGAAGATTTTCTATTTTTTCCTTATTTAAAAAATGGGGTTTTTTATTTTTATTTTTTTAGAATTCTTTTCTTTGTATGCGGTTTTGTAGTTCCTTAAATTTTAGTACATTCAAGTGCAACTTTAAAGTAGCTAGGCCTTCCCGTTGATTTTTAGCATTTTTTTACGTACTTTCTATCATACAAAGTATGTTTTGGAAAAATGAGCAACACTCATTTACTAAAATTGAATGGGCTACAAATCTGCATACTCAGTATGCTTCTATAAAATCCAATTAAAAAGCTCCAAACTTTGATGGAAATTTGTCGAATTTCCCAAATTTGTGTACAAAGTTTTAAATTATGACTTACATGGCCTTTGTTAGATAACGAGCTACACTTTTATAAAAAACAATAAACAATAAATAACCGAAGGGGCAATGCTAACATATTTCTTCCCTAAATTGCGTTCTTTTTTTGTAGTATTAGAAGGTAACACCGACCTGCTTGCTGACATCGATAAGAACTTTGGACTTTATGCAAGGGAGTTCCTTGAATTCAATAGCACCGGCAACGATGATGAGCGAGCGAAGAGCATACGTCAGTTTTATTACAATGACACCATCATGGACCCTAATAATCTCCTCGGACTCGGCCAAATCTTTTCGGATTCTCTTATCGGGCGTGGCGTGCATAGGCTGGTACAGTTGGCAAAAGATCACACGAATGTCTATTATTACCGTTTTGACTACGTTGGTGAAAAGTCACTGTTTCCAGATGGAGCTGGAAACCCGCAAGGTAAGTGCAGAAAACAGGAAGAGATTGTTACCATTATTTTTCTTTTAATTTAAAAAACGCAGGCGTCGGTCATGGGGATGATCTTTTCTATGTTTTGAAACGCAGAAACTTCGAAGTGAACGAAAATTCCACAGATATTTTTATGGTCGAACGAATGGCTAATTTGTTTGCCTCATTCGCCGCAAATGGGTGAGTAAAACTTAGTTTAATGAAGCATAATTTCACAAATAAAAAACTTTTTTTCCCACAGCTCACCACCAGTTATAGAGAATGTTACTTGGCCACCTTTTACTTCAAATAATACCGTTGTTATGTACATCAACTCGAGTCCATCTACGGGCAATCCCTTCTATGTGGACCGCTATGCTTTGTGGGATAAATTGTTTCCGCTTGCGGAAAGTAGTGCTGCTATACAGCTTCCTGCTGTAGTGCTGCTGGCATTTGCCGCTGCATGGAATATTTTATTTTAAGCAGTTCGTTTTAAGAAAAAGGTGGTGCAAAAGTGTAGTGGCTCATTGTACTCATTAAATTTTGCATGTTCGAAACTATAAAAATAAAAAATACTTCTTCTATCACAGTCAAAATTTTATACCAAAACGCCTCGAAAAACGCAGCTGCGATCGCCGACGTGTGCTGAGTCCCTGACTTGACCGTGTCTCGGGAAACGAGCTATTCACGAATGTTGCAAGCGCTCTTTAAACCTATTACGTAAACGGGCTCTCAAGGAATACTAATTGGACTATTGGGTTGTTATAGCTAACGGGTGATTTTTTTGAGGTTAGGATTTTCATGCATTAGTAT